ACCATTCCGTTGATCAAACAATGTCGAGGCGGACGAATCACTCTCGCACGCCGAGTCACACTCTTGATGATTGCAGTCGTGTAAGGTTGCGCTGAAACATGTAAACGTGTATGATTGGGTAGTGTAGGGTTGAAAATTGCGCTGAAACACAAAATAACCCAGCGCTATACAACTGGCAACTGCATCAAAATACAGTGTATTTTGACGCAGGTCCATCATGGTATGTTTAATGCACCATGATGAAGACGATAGAACACAGAGGCAGAGTGCGTGATTGTAACAAAGGGACGCAACCATCAATGGATCAATCAAGTAACGCTCAACGACAGCTTTAGTCGTGGGAAACATTCCGATGGAAAACGCGCATGTTCAACCGCTCAACTTTAGCGCACGCCCTGGTCTCCTCCAGTGTGGTTCTGAGTCAGTCACAGTTAATCAGACTTTGAAACGTGATTAATGAGTGCAAATCATCTACCAGCAGCTTGATCGAATGAGATAGTGACCCTCTGGCCTGCCAAACCTTGGCAGGCCAAGCGAAAAATTTTAGTTTTTCTTATTTTTCCGTATTTTTCCTTCATTTTTCCTTCAAATTTCAAATTTCCTTCCGAAGGAAATAATTTTTCTATTTTTCCTTCCGCGTGCCACCCTATCTAGATCTTCAGGAATGATCATCATACAGCCCCCTACAATGTGCGACATGCGACCAGAGAGTCCCAGTTGAGACTGGGTACTACTAAACCTATCATTCGTCCAGTTTTTACCAGAGGTTGGAGTCTTGGTATTGATAACGAGCCCAGTCGCATGTTCGAGAGCGCCAATACAGGCTTGTTAGGCATCAAAAGCGAACAAAGAAAAACAGATTACGCCAGAAGATTAGTTAGAAAGGATCATCCGCCATACACGAGCACACTACTGCTGTAGTGCGAAGATGTGGGCAGATAACTAACTGCCGATGTTCACAGACACGCGTGAAGAACTTATATTGTAGGCGACCAGCATCTACCCTCGTAGGAGTCCTACTGCAGGACTGAAGAAAA